ATAGTGATTTTCTTGGGCTGCTTTTATAATCCAGTTTTCTCATTTCAGACTGATTATCTGGTGATGCTGACAGTCTAATGATATTTAGAAGCAAGCAATTGTGTTTTCTGGAGGTTAGAATGCTGACTGGTCTCATTCATTTTGCTGCAGAATCAGCTCCTGAAGTGTATCCTGTGTGTTTTCTTGGCAGTAGTTTTGAAGCACAGAGTTGTCTTCTAGCCCTTGTGCCTTAAGAGCTGCATGTTGGTTTAGTGTGATGCTAAAAATCTTATATGAACTCTGTGGCTTTGTAGGCATTGCAGTTTGCAACATCCCTTCCTCCTCAGTAGAGGAAACTGCTGACTCCACTCTCTGTCACATCTTGAACCTCTATCGCCGTGTTACGTGGCTACATCAGGCTATGCGGGAAGGGAATCGAGCCTCGAGTGTAGAACAGATTCGAGAAGTGGCTGGAGGTGCTGTGCGTATCCGTGGGGAGACTTTGGGCATCATTGGACTTGGTAAGTGATGGGGATTGTTAGACTAAAAAGTAAACTGTGAATGTTTTGGGGAACTTGGAACTTGGGAATCACTGACTACTTTTTGGATAATTTTACAGCTGTTCGTTGTGAAACACACTAACTCATATGGAATGCTAGTGCCCTATTCTGTGATGCTGGACATCTTCAAGAGTAGGGTGTATGTCATGGGATTGGGGCTTTTCTTTACTCAAATAGAAAAAATGGAACATTCAGACAGCTCTTCCTAGTGATTTTTTTCCCGGTGTGGCAGGCTCTGTATCTTTAACACAGCCACCTGAAAGCTTCCTCGAGCTCTTGTAATCAGGTTGTTGCTGCCTTACTGCCTCAGAGTACAGATTTGGCTTGAAAAACACCTCCTTTAAGGCTAAGTGAAGGCTATTGCATGGGGAAAGACGAGAGTAAGCAGCATGGGATCAGCATTGAACAACCTTCTCTGGATCCCTGTGGCAGTCCAGGGCTGCAGTATCTTGGGCCCTGGCAGTAAACTCAGTCTGAGTAAACTCAGTCTAGGATCCCAGTCTCCCTCAGTATCTTGTCTTTAAAGTTTGTTTTACCTTTCCTTGATGATTGTGGGTTTTCTTTTGTGAAGGCCGAGTTGGACAGGCAGTGGCTCTGCGAGCCAAGTCCTTTGGCTTCAACGTGATTTTCTATGATCCATATCTGCCGGATGGAGTGGAGCGATCCTTGGGTTTACAGCGAGTAGGAACCCTGCAGGATCTACTAATGCACAGCGATTGCATCACATTGCACTGCAGCCTGAATGAACATAACCATCACCTCATCAATGACTTCACTATTAAACAGGTGCAGCAGGAGCTTGGTTTCCCCCACAGAATACTGTGGAAATGAATGCAAACGCAAACTGCTGCTTCCCCAGAGGCTGAGAGCGTGTGAATCCTGCTGCCTCTGCTGTGTGCCTCCTGCTGCCTTTGGGGTCTGGGAGCGTGTGGATCTGGGTGCCTGTGCTTTGTGCTGTATAGAATTTCTTGCTAAGAGGAGAATAGGACTGGCTCTTTTTGCTGAGTAATTTCACTTAGAATGTTTTAGGTGATCGAATAGTTTTAAATTACCTTTAAAATGAGTAACTGCTGGTTACAGCCAGGTGTGGTGTGGCTGGGACTAAGCTTCTTTATGCAGCTCTGCCAAAACATCTCTGCCCAAGCCCACTGCAAGCCCCAGTCTTGGGCTCTGTTCCAGTAGTCTAAATGTCTTTAAGTGCTTTCGTGAACACCAAAGTCCAGCTTTGTATAACAGGATGCTTGATTCATGTCCTCTTTTTTTTTCTTTTTTTTTCTTTTTTTTAGTAGTAGGATGACTATGGAGTGCAAAACTTGAGCTCCTCCACTTCTACCCTTGTTGTCTTACAGTTTTATTTATTTATTTTAAATTTCTTGAGCATTGCTTGCAGGCATTTCCCCTGTGTTTAGCTTGGCAGTGAGAGCATTCCTAGTCTATTCTCTGACTGTCTAGGCCTCTTCTAATCACTGCAGGCTCCTGCTCATTTCCAGTAGACTTCACTTTGCTTCCATGAAATAGTCTCATTCTCAACCCATTTAATTTTTTTTTCCTTTTCCAGATGCGCCAGGGCTGTTTTTTGGTGAACACAGCCCGAGGAGGGCTGGTAGACGAGAAAGCCTTAGCACAAGCCTTGAAGGAGGGAAGAATCAGAGGAACAGCGTTGGACGTGCATGAGTCTGAGCCTTTCAGGTAACACTGCATCTATGTGCTTACTGCTGTTCTGCAACTCCCCTGCACGAGGTGGTTCTTTCATTCTGAGTTACAGTGATACCTGGGAGGACAGATGGGATTATCGCTTTTGGGGAGAAACCTTTTTTTTTTTTTTTTTTTCCCACAGCTTTGCTCAGGGGCCCTTAAAAGATGCACCCAATGTGATCTGCACCCCTCACACAGCCTGGTACAGTGAACAGGCTTCCATTGAATCCAGAGAAGATGCAGCTAAAGAGATCCGCAGAGCTATTACAGGTAAGGAGCAAAGTGGTGTGCTCTGCAGGTGCTGCTGGATTAGGATTCTTTTGTTAGTTCGCTGCAAAGATTATGTAATGGGAACTGCTGACTGTTCCTAAAACTTACAATCAATGATTTTCTCCCAAACTAGACTATGATTTGGTAATTGGCTCTTTATCTTGCAAGAATCTTGTAGCTGTTACTGGAGTGGCACTTTCCCTCTGTGAAATAGATTTGTACTTCTCACCGTGTACATCTTCTAAATTCTTTGCAATAATTCCTCAAACAGTTATACTGTCTATCTTATTCTGGAGTAGCACATACCGTCTCCTGGGAAAGGTGAGGCCTGACAATTTCAGTTTAAATGGCTGCTAGTATCTCCAAGATCCCAGAAGTGAAAAGGAAAGCTTGGTTTCCTGTAATTTTCCAGAGACCAGTTTTTCATAAGACAAATCTCCCCTGCCCAGTGTTATCCTATGAGAAAAAGATGAGAAAGGATACTGAGCATTTCCTTTCTGCTTTCCTTTGCAAATGCTTCTGGAAATAAGTTTGTCTGTCTCTGTTTTTGTTTTTCGTTTGTGGTGCTCCTACAGGTCACATACCTGATGCTTTGAGGAACTGTGTTAATAAAGAGTATTTGCTGTTAGCAGCTCAGTGGTCTGGTATTGATCCTGCAACTGTCCACCCTGAACTCAATGGAGCTGCAGCTTACAGGTAAGATAAATTCGTTATCTGAGTTACTGCTTTTATGAATAGATATCTTTCTGTTGAAGCAGACTAACATGTCTCCATGTCTGAGAATTCCTTATGCCTGAAATCAAATATATTCCTGTATGATCTGTGGTATAGGCTCTTTTCAATAATCTAATAGCAACATGTCATCAGGTGACTTAGAGACACAAAGCTTCAGGAACTGTACCAAGATTTAAATGTTTTATTGATTGTCTTTATTATCAGTTAATTTTTATAAATCCTTGCAAGATATGCCCAAGAGACTTACGATGTTTGAAAACCTGTTAGGTTTTCAAGATGGCCTGAAAAGGGGTGTCTTAACATTTAAAAGTTGTTCATATTATTATTGCTGTATAAGCAAAAAAACAGTTAGCTGTACTGCAAGCTTGGGCTATAAATAAGAGAATTGTTTACAAAATATATTGATCAGTGGATGGGGCATGACCTAAACAAGGTGTGTTTCAGGCTATTTGTCTGTTAGAGACCTGCCAAGTCATTGTGGGCACATTGCTTCCCTTCTGTTTTTCACCCATGTGTAAAGTAGGAAATATATTCTCTAAGACAGCTCCAGATATAGTGTCAGAGAGGAAGAATGGAAGGAAAGGGTTTATTAGACACTTATTAGTTTCTCCTATTTTTTTTCATCTTATATTTGCCTATTTTCTTAATTTAGCTTTTTTTTTTTCTTCCCTCCCTGTCTTACAGCTAGTGAGAGATAACTGACAGCTTTCACTTCTGCTGGTGGGGAGGGAATTTCCAGCCTTTCATGGTACCTCCATGCATTATCTCATAGCATTTTCTGTTGGAGACAAGTTTTGTACCTGTTTTGTAAATGCTTAGTATGCAGCCTGACTCTCTCTCTGCCTGTCTGGTACTGGAAATAACTGACACTCTTCAGCCCTGTAGATATTTCCTGTATTCCATCTCTGAGTGGCTTTGTTAGAGATTTGTATTCAGCAGGTGGGTGAGGGCACAACTTCTTTCCCTTTGCACAATTCCTTTTGACAAATGTGTAATTTCCATGTTTCTGTTGGTTTCAGGTTTCCTCCAGGAGTAGTGGGGGTAGCAACCCCTGGGCTTCCGGAACCACCAGTAGTGGAGGGGATTGTAGCTCATGGGATCCCTTCTGTTTCTCACTCTGCTCCACGTACCCCTTCCCCAGGAGAGAGCAGCAAAC